GAAAATAGCGTAATATGCAATTTTTGCTTTCATTTATCTCTTCGAGAAATCCTCCACAAACTGTACAAATGACAAATTTTAGTAAACTACAAAAAAGACACTTAAGTAATTTTCCGTGGAAATCCAAAATGAATTAAATAATAGGAGTAATAATAATGATAGTGATTACTAAAGGCACATGCTTTTCTCTCTGTTTACTAGGGGCGAATACACCATCAATTGTGTGTTTTCCCGTTGGATTTTTACGATGCACGCAGTGTTCGCCATGGCCAGAAAATCGAAGAAGCAAGGGGGATTAGCTGAGAAGGAGGCTCAGGAAGAACTACAAGGAGGAATTAGTGAAGAAGAAGTTCAGAATTCAGTGAATCAAGTAAGTGGAAATTCAACTCAAAAACCTAATTCTGAAATAAATATTGTGTCTGAACTGAATTTAATGCTTGAAAAATTGTGTAATCAACGAGTAATTGCTACGGATGAGGGCTTGAATGGAGAAAAATTGCTGAAATCTGTCCAATCTAATGTCAAGGAAGGGTTCGATCCAAAAATACTTGGTAATTCAGAAAAGAAGTTGACCTTTATTGAGCCACAATTGTCTCATGAGAGCAGTATTGGAAAGGTAACTAAGCAAGAGATTCAGCGGGAAATAGAGCACTGAAAACCTTATGTAATCTATTGTGTTTTGGGAGCTAATCCGCCCTTTGCTATTATGAATGCTTTCATCAAAAGAATTTGGGGGTAAGATGGGAGTGGATAAGATACTGCTGTTAGAGAACGGGATGTATATTGTGAGATTTAAATCCATAACTGCTAAGGAAGAGGTACTTAAACAACACTTTTATCAGTTTGATCATAGACCTCTAGTGGTTAAGGAATGGTCAGTTACAGAGGAGATTGATATTAAGAAAATACAGCAAGTTCCAGCGTAGATCCAGTTTCTAAAACTAAAATTACTGTACTGGAATCCTACTACTTTGAGCAATTTGGCTTGTATGATTGGTATACCAGTTGAAATGGATGATATGACAACACAAAAGATGAGAACTGGATATGCTAGAGTTCTGGTTGAAGTTGCAATACAAGGGAAACTGAAAGTTGAGGTGTGGTATGAAGATGAGAATGGTTGCTTACAGGAGCAGAAGGTTAGATATGAATAGTAACCAGTGAAATGTCTTAAGTGTCAAGGTATAGGACATGTGACTGGTGAGTGTAAAAAGCCAGTTATTCAAAATTGGAAAGCCAAAGTATGTACCTGATCCAAAGGAGGTGGACAATAAGAACCAGACAATGAAGAGTAAAGGGAAAGAAAAAATGATGAACAGTGATATGAACAAGGGAGGAAGTAGTAGTCCTGGCAGTAAAATGGTTATGAAATCAAGCCAAAAAGCTCAGGATAATGAAGTAGAAATTCAAATTTTGAACCAGAAAGGAGTAAGAGTTGTAGAAGGTAGGAACACTGATAGAGTTAAGTCTGTTAATGATATTTGCTATCAAGATCCTAGTAACCCTGATGCAAGGAGTAGTAATCATGAATAACATCCTGTCATAGAATGTAAGGAGACTTAATATATAGTACCCTGAAACACAGGGAAATAGGGAACTTTCTCTCTGTCAATGGTGTTGGTATTGCTGGATTGTTGGAAACAAAGATAAATGAGGAAAAAGGTAAGGAAATTATGCACAGGAAGTGGTACGTGTATGAAGATACGGGTAATCACCAACATATTGAAACGGGAAGAATACTGCTTATATGAAAAAAAAAGGAGAATATCAGGTGAAGATAGGAATGAGAACTCAACAATTTATGCACTATCAAGTGAAGGTTTCAAGAACTAATAACCAATTTACCTTAACTTTGCTAACTTTGTTGTATGCTGAATATAATTCTTAGAGTAGAAGCAAACTATGGGATGAACTAAAGGCATTAACATTAACAGTCACAGGGGAATGGACCATGATGGGAGACTTCACCTGTATCTTGAATGCTGATGAGAAGTGAGGAGGCACAAATGAAATAAGCCCTGATGCTAACAAATTTGAAGGTATGGTTGAGAGTATGAATTTTGGGAAATGCAGACTTATGGTGGAAGATTCACTTGGTCAAACAAACAGATAAGTGAAATGAGATTTCTTTTCAAAATTGGATAGAGTAATAGTGAATGAAGACTAGATACAGGATCATACTGAAGTCTATGCAATTGTTATGCCTACAGGAATATCTGATCATAATGCCATTCTTATAAGATGGGGAGAGGATGTGGTTGCTAAGAAGAAGCCTTTTAAGTTTTTCAATATGTGGACACATAATCCTGAATTCAAGCCAGCAATGGAACGGGCTTGGAATAGAAGGATATCTGGTATAAAACAGTTTAGTTTAACATAGAAGCAAAAGCTTTTGAAACCAATGCTAAGGGAAATGAATAAGAAGCATTTCTCTAATATAGAAGAGAAAGAGCAGGAATATAGAATGAAGCTTAAAAAGATACAGGAACAGTTCATAGGGAGATCCATTGAATGAAGGTTATCATAAAGAACAAAAGGAAGCCTCTTTAGAATACGCAAAAGCCAGTAAAGCAGTGATGAGTTTTTGGGAGCAAAAATTGAAACAGAGATGCACAAATGAAGGGGATATGAATAGTCAATTCTTCTACGCTGCCATCAAATAGAAAAGAATGAGGAATGAGATCAGATCATTCACAAGAGGAATGGTGAAATAGAGGAGGATTGGTCACAAGTGGAAACACATTTTCTGGAATACTACCAATAGCTACTTGGAACACAAGTAACCATAACAAATGCTGTAAGTGAAGCTTTCAATTCAGAGAGTAAATTGACTGTAGATCAACAGATTCTCCTGACTGAAAGCTTTACTAAAGCATATGTAAAGGAAGCTTTGTTCCAAATTGATAGCAATAGAAGTCCAGGGCCATATGGTTATTGTTGTGGATTCTACAAGGCAATGTGGAATACAGTTAGAGAAGAACTAAGTGAAGTTGTGCTGGAATTATTCAGAATAGGTAAGATCCTTAAGCAAATTAACTCTACAGTTGTTTCTTTAATACCTAAGAATGATAGTCCAAAGGATGCTACTGAGTATAGACCTATAGCTTGTTGTAACACAATCTAAAAATGTATCTGTAAAATGTTATGTAAGAGACTAAGTGTTGTGTTTCCTGAACTGGTGGATCAAAATCAAGGAGCTTTTGTGAAGGACATTGATTTTGCATAATATATTACTAGCACAGGAATCGATTAGATTGTATAAGCGAAGAAATGTGAAACCAATCTTTCTAATGAAGGTGGATTTGAGGAAGGCATATGACTCAATACACTGGAAATTTATAGAGGAGATGCTTAAGGAATACAACTTCCCTCAAAGGTTTATTCAGTGGATAATGGAGTGTGACACACCATGTACTTATTCACTAAACCTATATGGATCAATTATTGGTTTCTTTGAAGGAAGGAGAGGATTAAGACAAGGAGATCCCACACTGCACTTTGTGTTGATAATGAAATACTTAACAAGACTATTGAAATTAGAAGCAGAAAAGGAAGGTTTCAGATGGCATCCATACTGTGAGAAAATGAAGATCATTGCTTTTAGTTTTGCAGAGGATTTACTAATCTTTAGTGGAGCTAAGATCAACACTATCAAGAGAATGAAGAAGAGAATAAATCAATTTGCAGAAACAACTGGTTTAAGGATCAACTTGAACAAGTCAAACCTGTACATCGGTGGTAATGTTGAAGGCGTGTAGGCAACAATTCAACAAGAAATGGAGTTTGGTGTTCGAACTTATCCTATGAGATATCTAGGTCTTCCTATATCTCCTACTGCCTGGACTAAAGGAGACTGTCATTGTTTGATTGACAAGATTACTGCAAGAATTAAGTGTTGGTCTTCTAGGCATTTGTCTTACGCAAGAAGAACCATTCTGATTAATGCAGTCCTGATGATGCATACTTATTGGGCTAGTATATTCCTGATTCCTCAAAGTGTTATACAACAAATTACTAAATGTTGTAGAGTCAGTGGGAAGTGTTGGCCACTTGTTGCTTGGGATGAAGTCCGTAGAAGCAAAACAGAAGGAGGATTGAATACAAAAGAACCTGGAATGTGGAATAAGGCAATGCTTGGTAAACAACTGTGGGATTTGAAGAATAGGAAAGATAGCTTGTGGGTCAAATGGATGCACAGTTATTACTTAAAAGGCCAATCAATATGGATTAAACCAACATCCTCAGGACAGTAGTTGGCACTGGAGGAAGCTAATGAAGGTAAGGGACACACTGAAGGTTGAAATCATTGCAGGGAAGAGGAATGTAGGTGGAGGAAGAGGATACACTACCAAGTTTGGTTATAGATGGTTGAGAGGGGATAAGAACAAATGTACATCAACTTCTATAACCTAGATCAGATTCAACATTCCTAAACATAGTTACATCGGCTGGATAGCCTGGATAGCCTGGAGGAAACTTCATGTTGATATTCAAGACGCACAATGTGTTTTATGCAAGAAGGATGTTGAGTCCTTGGATCACCTGTTTTTCCACTGTGAAGTTGCTTAAAGAATTATTGCAGAAGGTTATGGATTGGCTAGGGATCATTGCCAGAATTGGAAGTCTAAATATCTCAAGGATAAAGAGAGTATGGAAGTACAGAAAGCTGAAGAAGAATGTGTTTCAAGCATCCATTAATGCAGTCATATACATGATCTGGCAAGAAGAAAACAACATAAGGTTTGCAGGGAAATAGGAATCACTGCAAAATAGAGTAAATCAAATAATCAGTGTATTGAAATGAAGGATAGAACACTTGTATAAAAATGGTAGTGTTGATGACATTAGATTTCTTGAAAGTATAGGAATCAATGTCTTGAACAGATTGTAAATTTTGTACAGAAAGTTGATGATGGAATGGAAATTCACATTTTACCCAAAAAACATAAAAATAAAAAATAATGATAGTAAATCCTATACGCAATAATATAATTACTTAACCATCAACTATCTAATACTTAGACACCCGGTCCTTCCAGACGAAGGTAATCGTACATGGCACCAACGAATGGAAATCCTCCTATACTCTGCCTCAAGAATATAGAATTGCTACCCACTACTAGCCTGTTTCCACGAATGCTGAAGCTACATTGCCAATACAATCCATGAGGTCCGTGTCTTGCAATTGCATTATCCTCACCAATAATGCCAGTTGAGAAGTCAGGCAAAGGTTTTAATGGATCGTTGATCCTAACCTATATATTTACAATTTCGACCAATTAGCACGAGTTATAAATTATTTGTTATTGCGATTGGTGGTTTTTTTTAATCTTAAGAAATAGTAAAAAACATTACGCACTGAATAATTGATTGTTCACCTGAATACTGGCATATGACGCAGACGCAAGAGCCAACCTCAAAGTGTAAGTGGCAGTTGGAATGACCTCCTTCAGATCAAATGAAATTTGCCAGTTGGTGGGAACGTATGTGGTGGTTGTTCCACTCGTTTTTCTTCTACACATTTGGTCATTTATGACAATTGATTAATTTCTGTACACTATAGAATCAAATTATAGCAATCCCATTAAAATCAAAGGATCAAATGAGCCTCAAGGAAATAAATCTAGGAAGGTGAAGAAGCAAGTACCTGTTAACATGAGCAAAAAACCAATCGTTTCGATAATTATTAATTCCAATGTGATAAACCAAGTCTTGGTTAGGATAGAGATCTGTGTAACGATCCCACAAACCGTATTGCCTATACCTGAGATTCACATAATCTTCATTTGGTTACAACAAAATTCATACAGAGCAAACCAACAAAAAAAAAAAAAAATTGTGATAGAGTAATTATTAGTTGGATTGAAATTAAAAGCTGACCTCTCAGTTGGAAGATTGGTGAATAAGGGGTTTACAAGTCCTGGAAGTGGATCAGGCACATAAAACTCCGCGGCAGAACGATCAGGAATTCCGATTTCCCAAACCGTTGGACCATTTCTTGGAGGATTGAATACAAGAACTCCCAACTTAATTGCGTCTCCTGAAGCAAAAGATTAGCATGCATAGGACTATGCATATTTTTTCTTATTTTGAAATTTCAAATCCTTAAATTCATATCATAATCAACATTGAAAGGGAAAAAAAAATTAATAGTAAAAAAAACCTAATGAGGTAATTGTATAATTTTACCTGGTACAACAACAACATTCGTATTGTACATGTAATCACCAAAGATGCCGGGAATCCAAGCATATAAATTGTAGGTACCTGCTCGAACACCTTTGATGCTGAATGAGCCCATACTATCAGTTTGTGTCCAAAATTGATATCCCTGCCAAGTACATAAAATTTAACTTTTTATCAGGCATAATCAAATTTATTTTTGTTTCTCATGACTATATGATCCTCTCTCTTAATATTCCACTTATATAATGGTGTAATCTAATGCAAGTATATGAAACCGCTTTTTGTATTTTGTGTTTGTGTCTTTCCACCAATCCACATTAGCAAGGTTATGAATTTTTTCTTTCATAAACTTAAAATTCATAATGTTAATGCTCGCTACACATTATTGTTTGAAAAATAAATAAGCAGTTAATTTTTTGAAATTATGGTACATTACCTTAGCTTCTATTTGCCATGATCCTGGAACTCCTGGAGCAGCTAATCCGACGTAAGCAAATTTAGCTGGGAAATTCCCGTTTTGTAAGAACCTGTTTTCGGAAGAAGGGAACAAAACAGTTTAGTCCCAACGTGTAAATTTACTAAAACTAATTTTCTGTTATTTGTCTTTGGTTAAATGAGAAGAAAAGGCATTCGTGAAATAGTACCTGCCGTTAATTTGTAGAGTGCCACTAACCGTGGCCCTTTGTTTAGCCGGAGGAAAATCGGGTGACATTAGAAAATTGTACGGCCATTTCTGGACTTCTTTTGTGAACTGAAAATAAATCACATGCACCAAATACACAATTTCATTAAGCTTGTTGCACAATTAGGTCAGTAAAAAATGATTCAAGGCAAAATAAAGCAAAGTAAAACCTGTTGTTTCGCATCATTCCAAAGTGAGCAAGGCTGATTCATCGTCCCAGAATTAAGATATATAAACACTGGTCCAAGTACTTTTTTCCAAGGTTCTCCCTCTTCGAAATGTAGTCCTTTCAATGGACCTCCAGCATAGTGACGAGTGAAAAACGTCTATCGCGAAACCATTCAGTTCAATATTATAAACATAAAGTGGCATTAACTCATTTGAAACTACAAATGGTGATCAAATTTTCATTCACAAAAACAAAATGATGATAAAAAGTGAAGACATAAAAATGATTTACCGCCAGGGAGGTTGGGCCAACATGTGAGGTAAGCTCTCGTTTCATAGGACCTCCAGCCTTGGATTCATAACTCGGCATGATTACCCAAAATCCAACATTCTTCTCTGCGCTAATCCAACCGTGCGCTTGCTGGTCTTTATTGTCCAGTGAATACTGATATTTATCATCAACCTCCATCTTTGCCAAAGGAGAAGACTAAATCGGTCATTTTTTGTAATCCCAGAATTTACTAGAGACGGGTAATTTTCTTATTTTTATTCCATTTCTTTTGTCAAAAGAGAGGCGAAAAAGAGCAAAAATTAATGCTTTCACTTCATGTGATACTCCCTCTGTCCTCCGATTTGAGTTTTCAATTTTAGTAAATTAAACTAAAAGTAAAACCCAAACTGAACAATAATTTTGGGACGGAGGAAGTACTATATTACTATTAACTCTTTTCAAACAACTGGACATTTATAAAATATATAATCACCTGTCCGGTTGGACCTTTGACATGAACAGCCTCTTTATATGCAAGAGGTTGACCTCGTTCTCGATCGTCCGGCGAAGGCATAAATCTCTGCTTATTGTCTGCTATAGCCATATATCGAAACCTAATTGAATCAATATTCAATATAACAATTCCTCCTCATTAGTCGAAAGCTCATTATTACTACCTTACTTATGCTCAAAAATAAACTAATCAAATCATCAAATAAAGATGCTGATAAAGAAATAAGTATTTGTTACATTTGTTGGTCCAGCTTGAATGCAACCCTCGTTTCAGCAATGTCTAACGACGGCCAACCTGGTAACCTTTCATATATTGCATACGTGTAAAATCCTGATACGCCAGATAACATTACGAACCTAATGATACATAAACACAATATATAATAAATAGTAAATCAGGATTCATTCTTTTTGATTACTAACTAACTCATATAGTATTTAGAAAATTTAATTGCATGGTTACGTACCTTTTGTCGATATTTAGGGGTAAACCATAGGGAGATGAGGAATTATAAGTTAGTTTAAATGAGAGCTCAATTTTGTCCACTGTTTGGGCTATGACTTGGAAATGTGTCCCTTGTAACCTGCAAGGTGTAAGAATATAAGAAGATATTCTCAAAGAGTCAATCCATGATTCAAGTAGGAACCGTATTAACGACTGATAAAATATTTTAGTAAAAATACATCTTTTATTATATTCTCTCTATCACAAAATGATTGTATCCTTTAAATATTTATTTTTAATAAAATTTTGTAATAAAAATAAAAATTTAGACTTGAAAATCATTCCAAGACGATGGGAGTATCCAAAAAAGAAAAAGGGATTGATCGTCAGAGGTTATTTTACTATCTACGTTATTGTTTCTTCTTTCTTCCTGAAGCTGTATCTTTATTTAGGGCTACTCATAACTTACACATAAAAAATTCCAACATCTTGTGAAGACGCCCATACAAGATCCCAGTACCTGCATACAATAAGACGTTCTCATTGCTGAATCCAGTCAAAAGATGGAGGTAATAGTAAATTAAGTGCCTTTAAAGAAAGGCAATTTATTAATAACAATGACATGGTAATAAATTAGTCAGGTTAAGTCGTTATTTTCAAAAGGATATAGTTATTGAGCTAGAAATGGCATTAGGGTTTCGAAAAGTCTGTGCTTGTGGTTTGGCTTCCGCCTCATACATTATTTATACATATTACTCTCTATGTCCTATAATATTAAAAAATTCACATCCAATTTTGAGATTTATGCTACTTTTTAGTTTTATATTATTCTCAAAAATCAATATTGATAATTTTTTTGAGATAGAGAAAGTATAACGAGAAAGGTTAATCTGAAATGGGAATAGAAGAGAAAGGAAAAAAGAAAAAAAAGCTATCACCCCCTTTGTGCTGCAGGTTGGGTGGTGTCAAGAATATTGGGAATTCCCTTGTAGCTAATTTGTGTTATCATACCACCAGGAACTGATATCGTGATTTCGACTATCCCATTCTCCAATACTACCTGGAAAAATATTTTACCAATCAATACAAAAAAATATTTATAAAGTTTATTACATGATTTTCTTCATCCGATTAAAATTTTTTTATTCCTATAAAAACAGAAAATTAAAATTTTTATGTAATGTTCAAGGCTTACTTGTCCATTCTGCATAATCAGTTTGAGAGGACAATAGGCCATCTTTTGATCTGTACTCATGTTTGGAGGACTCTTTCTAAATTTTGAATTACAAAAATAAAAAATAAAAAGGTTAGAAGAACAATAGGAAAACTCAACTTATTGGTCAGATAGAAATTGTCACATAATAAAGATAGAATATTAAGGTTAGTCATTGTTGCCGTCAATCAATGCGTCTGAATAATGTGATGGAAAATTGTGTTGAGATCATGTTCAAAGATTTAATTATAGAAAAATGTAAAATAATAATAATATTAATATTAATAACTTTGTTTAGTGTACCTTGAATCTACCATGTCCGAACCAGTAGAGAGGGACATGAATAAAAATAGTACGACCATCTGCCAAAGTCTCCCTTTCTCCATCATATCGTCTTCCCTACTTGAACGAGTATCCTATTGTACAACCGGAAGAAGCCACATAAAACCCAAGCAAATATAACATAAATACGTTTTGTTAATACAATTAAATAACAATTTTTTTAAAAAAGAAATCTAACGTTGTGCACCGGTGGGACGGGGGGGAATCGTTGGATCGGATAGGTAGTAGTAAGGATGGTTGATTGTGATTACCACAAGATCAAGATCCACTTTCGTTGATACAATCAAATTTTTAAAAGGGGAAAAAGAAGCAGCAGCAACCAATTTTTTTTGTTCTAAATAGTGCTGTAGCACAAAATTTTCTTCTGCTTTTCTCCTAGTACCAAAAACGATCAGCCATGCCACAATCTATATTTATAGAGATTTGAGGATGCTTACTCTGGATTCATAAATCTTTGTCTTGGTTAGTTTGGAACAAAGTTTGGGGTAACATCGAAAGAGTCGCCATAATCCCCGTGTTTCCAATTTAAGAACCAGAAATTTCCTTTATCAGAAGTTTTATAATATTCAACTGCATACATATCCTTTAATATTCTTGAAAATAAAAGAACCAGATTTTGGAAATTCCGTAAAAGTACGCATTGTGTACACAGTGTTTCATAGTTTATTACTTGGAGAAAATCAAAGAAAAATTTCCCTTTTCACACTGTTATACGAACTGGCCAACGGCAAGTAACTTATAATTCAAGTAAGTGGCAATAATTAAAAGTAAATTATATAATAGAAAAGTAAAAGTAAATCATAAAATCAAGTAAATTAGGCGATTTATTGAGTGCACTCGGGGCACCATACTCCCCCTCCTAGTTTTTGTACTACTGGTCCTTATTGTACTTTTTTTTTTTTTACTTTTTCTATTAATCTTTTTATTATTTGCAAGTTCAGTCCCTTTGATTTTTTTTTCTCTCTCCTCCAAAAAAACATCTCTAATCTTTAAACAAGTATATCTCTCAATCTGTGAAGAATTAGAAAACGTGTCACACATGAAATTTATTGTTCTCGTCGAGATCTATCCAACAAGATCCATAGTGAATATTTTTTCCAGGCTTAAAAATGATGAAATTCTGATGGGCAGAATGAAGGTGGATATCCAGTTTTACAATATGGATAACCAAATTATTTTAAATTGGTTATCCGTTGTGTTCATGCTGATTATACAACCAGTTTGAACTGGTTATCCAACTTGTTTGTACTGGATCTCATCCATTTGGTTTGTATGCCTATTAAACTTGTTTGTAATGGATATCCCACTTGTTTGTACTGGATAACCATTTGGTTTGTACTGGATATCTAACTCGTTTGTATTGGATATCCATCCATTTGGTTTTTATGCCTATTTAACTTTCAACTTTTTTGTGCTGGATTTCCAACTCGCTTGTACTGGATACCCAACTTGTTTGCACTGGTTATGCAACTCGCTTGTACTGGATATCCAACTTGTTTGTACTGGATATCCATACATTTGATTTGTATGCCTATCTAACTCATTTGTACGCACTGGATATTTATCCAACTTGTTTGTAGTGGATATCCATCCATTTGGTTTGTATGCCTATCCAACTTGTTTGTAATGGATATCCCACTTGTTTGTACTGGATATCCAACTCGTTTGTACTGGATATCCATCCATTTAGTTTTTCTTTTTATTATTATTTTTTTGAAAAAAAAGAAATGGTTGATCAACGCGTTCGTATTGGTTATCCAACTGTTCTGTATAGATTATCCGACCATTTTTTTCTCTACTCTTTGCGAAAATCCTTGTCCAGTTTTTTTGTACTGACTATCCAACCGTTTTGTATGCCTTATCCAATCGTTTTCACTGATTATCCAAACATAATTTCTTTTCTTTCTTTTTTCTTCTTTTGAGAAAAAATCTGTCCAATGTGTTCATACTGATTATCCATCCCAGTTCTCGGTGATGGTTGGTTATCCGAATTTTTTTTTCCTTGCTTTTTTAATGAAAATGATTGTCCGATTTTTTTGTAATGGTTATCCAACCAGCTTGTACTATTTATCTAATTATTTTCAATGATTATCCAAATAATTTGTAATGCTTATCTAAATATTTTATTTTTTATTCTTTTCTTCTTCTTTTTTTAAGATGAGTGAATGGAAAAAATATGACTGGATAACAAGTACAAACAAAATGGATAATCAGTCCAAACCGGTTGGATAGATCTCGTCGAGCACTATAAAATTCATATTTAATTCGTGTTCTAATTCTTTACATATCAAGAAATATATGTAATACAAGAATATCAATCTAAACTAAGTTGGTTGTCCATCTTCTTTTTTTCTTTTTTTCTTTTTTGAAAAGTTAATGTAAAAAATATGATTGGATAAAACAAAATAGATAATTAGTCCAAACCGGTTGGATAATCAGTATGAACACAACGGATAATCATTTTTCAGTTTATTCATTTTTGCCCGTAAGATTTAAATGCATTGAAGGTTAAAAAGAAATATTCAACATTAATCTTATCGGATAGATCTCGTCGAGCACTATAAATTTCATATATAATTCGTGTTATAATTCTTTACGGATCAAAAGATATAAGGAACACAACAATATGAATGTAAAATAAGTTGGTTATCCATCTTCTTAAACTGGATATCCAATGTGTTCATATTGATTATCGAACTTCTTTATGGTTGTTATCCAGTATTTTTTTTCTTGCTCTTTTATGAAAATGATTGTCAAACTTTTTTGTACTGATTATCTAACATGTTGCACTGATTATCCAATTATTTTCTATTGATTATCCAAATTATTTTCTATTCTAATTCTTTACGAATCAAGACATATATGCAATACAAGAATCTTAATCTTAACTAAACTGATTATCCCTCTTTCTAAACTAGATATCTATCTTATTCTGCCCATCGAAATTTAGTCATTTTTAAACTCGAAAAAAATATTCGATATGGATCTTGTTGGATAGATTTCGACGAGTACAATAAAATTCATGTGCAACACGTTTTCTAATTCTTCACGGATTGAGAGATATGATCGTTTAAAGATTAGAAATATTTTTTAAAGGAGAGAGAAAAAAAAAATCAAAGGGACTAAACCTGTAAATTATAGGATATTATTTAGAAAAGTGAAAAAAAGTGTAGTGAGGACTAGTAGTGTAAAAAATAGGAGGGGGAGTATGGTACCCCAGGTATACTGGATAGAGAATCTTTAACTAAGTTCATAATATATAACAACAATTAATGATTTAATGCAGGGATGTATCATGTCAGAAAATAAAGAATTCGATAAATAAGATAAGACACATCTAGACTAAAAAAAAAAATAAAAGAAAAAGCCATGTAATCTATCAAACGTTTTTGGAATATCAGTAACAAGTCAAATGGGAGCAGAAAAATGAAGGATTATGGATGTCATTTATCCTCAAATCATTCTTTTTCTTGGTTATTGGAACTTTTGTCGCCTCGACTATATATGAATATATTTATCTTAAGTAAAGGCAGTTTTGTTCAAAAACATATACTAGTTCAAAACAAATTCACTTTTCTCAAAACATGGCCGGCCGCTATTATAAGTATTTCAAAACACAGACCTTACATATGTAATTGCACATATTAAGTTTTTTTAAAAAAAAGCCAAAAACCAAAAACCAAAAACCAAAAAAAAAAAAAACAAATTACACCAAATGTCATACGAGCTATAGAGACTTTTATTTTGAAATGTGTAGAGTATAGTCCAGTTTTATCGGATGTGTGTCCAAAGGGACGAATCACCCATGTGTTGTCTGATTTCAAGTTCTTAAGAATCTTAATCAAATGCCAATAGCCGAATTTAACATCATTAATCAACTGGCTGCACACAGTCCAAAAATGAAGATAAGATGGTCCACACAGACCATCCCTAAATTGGATTCTGTCGTTGAAAAAATGATTGATGTTATAAAAAGACACCCTATATAAATCGTTAAGTATTCCAAGAAGGACAACTTGAAACCCAATATATTTCCAGAAATGGAAAAGAAGGTATATAATGGGGAAGAAGGAGAGGACCATTTCAAGTACCACTCAACAACATTAATCCCATTGTTAACTCCATATAAGCTCGGAATTTTCCAGCTATCTCACAGGTATGTACAAGCTATTTCTCTTTCGAAAAATGATAAAGACATTAAAATCATAATAATGCTTTCAATAGTGCATGACTGATTGCTTAGCACTTCTAGTTCATTTGATTATATTGACAGGTACTACCTTTTAGAAAGTTATTAAGTGATGATTGATTTACACATTAATCACCATTATGAAAGTCAATGTATATGATACCAATGCATGCTATTGCTAGCTAGGTGGTACATTTTAATTAGTATCTTGGATTGTTTCATGAGTGTTGCGATTAACTTAATGTTGTGGAGAAAATACAAGGAGAGTTCAAAAGAAAAATGAATTGAAAAAAAAGGGGACAGATTTCTTTGGTCAAATAACGAACTGTAATTATGATTTGGCACTTTTTTCTTTGGTTATTTTGTGAGTAAAGTATACTTATAAATTACTTCCTTTATACAATTTAACCCTTCTTTCATGTAACAAAATATTGTAGAATAGTTTTGGCACCTTTAACAAGGCAAAGGTCTTATGGCAATGTTCCACAACCGCATGCCACATTGTATTACTCTCAACGAAGTACAAGAGGTGGTTTACTCATATCTGAAGGAACAGTTATTTCAGAAACAGGCAAAGGGTCTGCAAATTAATTGGTTAAAATTATCCTTGATTATTATTATCCACAATTAGTATCTCAATTTACCTTTACATTTTAACTGGCAATTAATTTTTTCAATAAGCTTTTTAATTATTTGGGTGATTTAGGTGTCCATGTACCCCTGGTATATGGACAAGGGAACAAGTAGAGGCTTGGAAACCAATTGTCAATGCAGTTCATGACAAAGGTGGCATTTTCTTTTGCCAGATTTGGCACAGTGGGAGAGTTTCTACATATGGTAATTAAGTTCATGTACTTCCTTTTTGTTTATTCATTTTGTCCCTGTTTTTCGTTTTAGATGATTGGTTGCCTCTATCCTATAAAAATAATTCATTTGTTGAACTAAAAAACATCCATGCCCAAAAAATAGTCCACATCAATTTATTCATTTTGTCCCTGTTTTTTCTTTAAGATGATTGGTTGCTTCTATCCTGTAAAAATAATTCATTTGTTGAACTGAAATACTACATCGGTCCCCACAAAATAGTCCACATCGATATGGACTATTTTTTTGGGACGAAGTGAGTTATTAAAAAGATAGACTAATTTTCAGAGAAAAACCATTTTCTCTCAGTTGAATGGTCTTATATTAACTTATTATTATTGTTGTTGTTGTTGTTTTTCGGGTACAAAGGTCCATATAAAATAAGTTAGCATTGTCACAGATTATCAGCCCAACGGAGAGGCTCCAATCTCATCTACTGATAAGCCACTAAAACTTCAATTAAGAGCTGGTGGCATTGAACTCAATGCATATTCGCCTCCAAGGCGTCTAAAGGCTAAGGAAATTCCAGAAGTTGTGAATGATTTCAAGGTTGCTGCTATGAATGCAATCGAAGCTGGTAACATTATTCTCTCCAATCTTTATTATAAACCTTTTTTAAAAAAATTTCTGGGTCCAATTTATAAAGTATTCGTTGTGTTTATACTTTTTATTTAAACTTTAAAGTCTGCTTGGTTAATAAATTTTCTAGGTTTTGATGGGGTTGAGATTCATGGAGCTCATGGTTACTTAATCGATCAATTCTTGAAAGATCGAGTCAATGATCGAACAGATGAATATGGTGGTTCATTAGAGAACCGGTGCAAATTTGCTCTGCAAATAGTTGAAGCAGTTTGCAGTGCAATAGGACCTCATAGAGTTGGCATTAAGCTCTCCCCATTTGATACTTACAATGATGCAGTTGACTCAAATCCGCTAGAATTAGGTCTTTACATGGCGGAAGCTTTGAATCAGAATGGGATATCGTACATTCACATGGTCGTTCCTCGTTGGGAAGCGACTGAAGATCCTTCCGATGATGATGATGTTCTTCTTCCTATTCGAAAGGCGTTTAAAGGCTGTTTTATGGTTGGTGGTGGATACAACAGAAAAACGGGTAGCAAAGTAGTGGAAGAAAATCGCGCTGATCTTGTTGCGTATGGGAGGAGTTTCTTGGCGAATCCGGATTTGCCAAAGAGGTTTGAGTTGAATGCGTCTCTTAATGAGTATAACAGAGAGACTTTTTACACGGATGATCCTGTTGTTGGGTATACTGACTATCCATTTTTGGAGGAAACTGCTTGAGTTTATGAATATGGCATTTCTCGAACTAACGAAAGACGCCAATAATGTCACAGAAAATCTGATAAACCAGAATGAAGCAGTAAACAAGCCAACTACTAATCATCGAGAATTAAAAAGCAGAGAAAGAAACCGTTGGGAACAGTAGAGGACATGCACTAGAAAGGTTGTTCTAGACAGCCCAATGCATCAGCGCATACAAATATTTTATCAGATGTCCCCGAAGGGACAGCGTACAAATATTTACTACTAGGGGTTACCGCATACAAGAATTTATTCCTATCAAAAACTGCGTAACAGTACTAGCAAAATTTTTTACTCAATACATGTTTTTTACGTATTCATCTAACTTTTGAATCTTCTTTCAGATAGCATTTACTTATCGATCATGGATGTCATTTAAACTTAATAAATTTCATCCAATAATTAAATATATTCCCTCTGTCTCAAAATTATTGTCTAATTTGAATTTTTAAATTAAACTAAAAGTGAAAATTCAGGACAATAATTTTAGGAGAGAGGGAATAACTTGAAATGTAAATATTTAATGGTGAAATAACTTCAGGCAAATGTGAATAAGTGCTCGTGAATTTGGTTTTTTGAATTTTTTTGTTTTTTGGCAATAGAGCTTTTTATGGTTTTTTTGTTTTTTGTTTTGGGGCAATTAAAATGAAATTACATGTCTACGTTGTGCGGAGCTCCATATGTGGTCTTGAGTATCAACCGGCCGCTTAAGATTTTCGTTTGCATTGTAAGGGGGCTGAGCAATTTAGTTCTTGCTGCAGGATGTACCTTCATTCCCACCGGGGAAGAAGAAAAGTTTGCACTTTGGTTTGGATTTGGGTTGAAGGGAAATGTATCATAACCTTCTTTTAGATGAGGTTTTTAATTTTTTTATTTTTCTTTAACATAGTTTTAGGATGCTCACTGTCAATAATATGGAATTAGTCTAAACATTCTTTGATCAACTTCGGCTCTACACACCAGGTCCAAGCCCCAAACAAATAGACCGCACAAGAAAACAATTTGTTTGTAGCTATTGATGACAAACTTGATTATTTGTTCTGGACAGAATAATAACGTAAATCATGATGAGTGTTCCCTTCCCCTTTTTTGCAAGACTTTAATCCACAATTTAATTGGGACCTATCGAAAACCTTTTTTTTTTTCCAAAATATATCTATCCATCCTACAAAGAAAACTCATCGTGATAACTGATTTTGATAATTTTTCCATCAGTATTGTACGAACTTATCTTGCACTTAACTTTCTTCTTACTTTTTTTTTTTTTTATCTTTTTAATTTTCAGGAATTCAGTTTAATTAATTTGGACAGAATCGCCCCACTGCCAAAGAAATCAACTTACCGAAATCATGTTAGCTAGACTACTACGAAGACAGGACGTACGCAGCATGATAGATATGGCCTATGGTGGTAATGTGATCATTTGGAGTACAAAAGTCGGCAAGACCTGAAAATCCAAAAAAAATGCTAACACTGCCATATCGCTACACAGCAGATTTTAGAACATTTTTTCCCCATTGACACCACTACAATATATTAATACTATGTATTCAAATCAATAGTAAGAGTGTGGTACTAGTTGTTTTTGTGTATCTAAGCAAATTACAAGTCTTGTGTTTTGGTGTTGATGATTAACTCCACCCTTAGACTGCTTAAAAGTTTAAAACAAAATCAAGCCCATTGATTAAATTTTGGTTTCAAGAAAGAAACCTACTTAATTTCAATTCGTTTAAACACTAAAGTTTAAAAATTTTTACAAACTAGCAAGTGGGTCATCTTCTGCCAACTTTGTTGAATAAGCAAACATCTTATTAATTTACAAAAAGAAAAGTACAGTAAAGTACTCCCTCTGTCTCATAATTATTATCTAGTTTGAGATTTCACTTTTAGTACAATTTGAACTAAAAATAAAAACCCGAATTGGACAATAATTATGGGACGGAGGGAGTATATGAAGAATCCAATTTTGGTATCATAACGTTGAGAAGAAGAACGAATTGATAAGAAAACTAAGAAGAAGCCACTTTGCTTTTGACTGATTCAAAACCGAGGAAAAAGATCAGCTGAAAAGTGTGAATGAATTTCTTCTATATTGTGTTAATTCTGTACAAGAGATTTACAAGTATATATACCAAATTAAGTCGGCTGATCTTTGCTACTGTCACCTAACTGTCACTCTATATACATCACTGCCTGTAGAAACTAATATATATACATCACAGAACATTTAATCACAGTCAGTCCCGCTAACTTTGCTTCTGAGCATGCTAATCAAGCTATGCACTTTAGGAGACAGCTGTATCTTTCCTGAATTTTCTTGGATATTCCAGATCAGCCGGATTTCGCATTGCACATGGAAGATTTGATTCGGTGCAAGCATGTGCACAATGCTGCTGTGTTACTATTGCTTATGTGGAAGGCTGAATATTCAACATCCCCCTCAAGGTGTTCATGGACCATGCGCAACTTGGACAGAAGAGTCTGAAAAGTGGTGGTGGGAAGTCGTTTGGTGAAGAAGTCGGAGGTCTAAGAAGTAGTAGGAACATGAAGAGGGCTGATAAATCCTTGAACATAGGCATCCCGAATGATGTGACAGTCGATATCAATATGTTTCATTCGTTCTTGGAATACCGGATTTTCAGCTATATAGATTTTAGCCTGATTGCACAATGTAGAGGAATCGGAGTCTTGAAGGAGATCGGAAAATCACGAAGGATATACGAGATCCGCTGCAATTCTGGAACAGTACTGGCCATTGATCACTATTTAGCTTCGGCTGAAGAACACGAAACTACTGATTGCTTTTTAGTCTTCCAGGAGACTAAGCAATCGCCGTGAAAAACACAATATCCCGTCAAAGAGCGCCTGGTAGTACGACAGGTGCCCTAATCTGATCACAAAAGGCAATCGGATCCAAGGAAGTACTGCTATAATATAGAAGACCACGATTAATGCATCCTGAAAGATACCGAAGAACGTGTATTGCAGCAGACCAATGAGATTCATGTGGGTTTTGAACGAACTGAATTAATTATTGGACAGAATGTGCAATGTCAGGATGAGTGAAGTTGAGATAAAGTAATCGGCCAACAAGTCGACCACAGGAAGAAGGATCAGAAAGCAATGGTGTATCATCCTTGTCTTCAGCAGCAAATTTCAGACTGCTTGGAAAAGAAGTTGAGGTTCGCTGACAGTCCAGAAGATGTGTATTTTTCAGAATGTCTCTGATGTATTTGGCCTGAAAAAGATAAATTCCTTGAGGAGAATGAGCAATTTCCTTGGTGTGGAAATAACGTGCCACACCAAGGTCTTAGATTGAGAAGGTTTGATCCAAAAAGTGCTTGACTGAATTGACAAGAGATTCACTAGAACCAGTGAGGAGTGCATCACCCACGTAAACGAGAAGGGATAAGCAGGCATCATTCTGATGTAGATAAAACAAGCAATGATCGTGATAAGACTGCTTGAAGCCAAAACCAGGCAATTTTGAAGTGAACTCTTTGTTCTACTCTCGGGACGCTTGTTTTAGACCATAAAGGGAGCGTTTTAACTTGCATACTTGCCCTGGTACAACAATTGAATAGCCAGGAGGTGGAAGCATGTAGACGTCTTCAGTCAAATGTCCATGCAAGAAAGCGTTATTCACGTGTAGCTATGAAACAATCAAGCCTTTTGAAGCTGCAACAACAAACAAGATGCGAACAGTAACAACCTTTGGTACTGGAGAGAAAACCTCAGTATAATCCTCCCCTTCTATCTGTCTAAATCCCTTGGCAATAAGACATGCTTTGAATCGATCAAAGGTACCATCCCGATTACATTTCACCCTGTAAATCCATTTACAACCAACGGGTTTCTCTCCTGCAGGCAAAGATGTTAATTCCCAGGTCTGATTATCCGCAAGAGCTTTAAGCTCTTGATTCATAACATCAATCTAGTTCTACCCTGATTAAAGGTAAGAGGTTCATGAAATGTTGAGAAATTAGCTAAAAACAAGTCATAATCATCAGAAAAATGACAGCTCAGAAAATGATCATCAGTATAATCATTAGCACAGAAAGTCAAAGAAGGAAGAGATTGACTGAGTTGAAAGTCTTGAAGTTTACTTGGCAACTGCCTGATTCTAGTGCTCCTGTGTACTGGAGGTGGAGAGGGTAAAGAAGTAGTATGCATAGGAGAGGAAGATGAAAATGGTGGAGAAGATGAAATGTGTTCACTCTTAAGGAAAAGAATAAAGCGGGCAATGGATATTGGAACATTGTCTGATGGAGGATTGACTGAGCATGGATCATCAGGTAAAGAATCTTCAATAGGTGGAGATGTTTTGGGTAGTACAACTGATGTATCAGAAACTAAAAGAGAGGGAAAGATGTCCTCATGAAATATGACATCACGTGAGACAATGACTTTCTTAGGCCTAGGAACATACACTTTGTAGCCTTTTTGATGTGCAGGATATCCAATGATGATTCCTTTGAGGGATCTTGGATCAAACTTGTCTCTGGTGGGAGTATGATCAATGATGAAAGCCAAACAACCAAAAACCTTGAGATAATCATACACAGGAGGTTTAGAAAATAGAAGTTCATGAGGAGACTTCCATTTGAGTAACTGAAGGAGTGATATTGATTAAGTGTGTGGCTGTGAGAATGGATTCTCCCCGAAAATGTTTGGAAAGTCTAGATTGAATTAACAAGGATCTTGCTACTTGTAACAAATGGCGGTGCTTCCTTTCAACAACCCCATTATGTTGGGTTATATAAGGACAGCTCCGTTGATGTATGATTCCATACATGGAAAATAAATCCTGACTGAGAGTGCCAATAAATTCAGATCCATTGTCAGTTGTAAAAATCTGCACAATGGTATGAAATTGTGTTTTGACTTGTTCTAGAAAAGTAGCAAGCAGATTTGGAACTTGAGTTTTATATTGAAACATAAAAGTCCAAGTGTTTCGAGTATAATCATCGACTATAGTCAAGAAATATTGACAATGATTAAGAGATAAAACCTTATAAGGTCTCCAAACATCAACATGAATCAAAGCAAATGGAGTAGAATTTTGTATTAAACTTGAAGGAAATGGAAATCGATGTTGCTCTGACTGTGGACAAATATGGCACAGACCTACATCTTTATTATAACTAGAAATAGAGGATCCTTTTGAAAGGTGATCCATTACAAGTTTGGAAGGGTGGCCTAATCGGAAATGCCAATGATCAGTAGTAATAACTGACATTACATTAGACACAGATTTATTCAAAAATGGAAAACTAGAAGGATTTTTGCAATGTAGCATACATGAAGCATAGAGAGTCTGTAATTCTTGAATAGCTTGACTAGGGAAGGAATATGCATTCAATACGTAAAGGCCTTTAACAACTTTTCCAACTGCCAAGATACTAGTAGTTCGAAGGTCCTGCAAGATGTAGAAACTTTCAAAAAATTGGAAAAACATTTTAGAATCTCGAGCTAACTTGCTAACAAAGAGCAAATTGTATTCGAAGCTAGGTAAATGAAGACATGCTTTAAGAGTAAGTGTGCTGGACAGAATTGCATCACCTACATGACTAACTGATTGTACACTACCATCTGGCAAGCATAAAGGAGTAAACTTTTTGACTAATTGAGGATTAGAAAGCAAATGCAAGGAACCATTCATATGACCAGTAGCTCCAATGTCAACAAACATGAACCATTAATTACTAATTTTAAAAACAGACTTCGAACTAACAAGAGGAAGAACTGAGCTACCTGCAAAGTCTTCTATGTGGGAGAAATTGACATGATTAGTGACATCAACAGGAGCTTTGTTCTTCATCAGACGACTGATCTCCTTTTGTACAGCAGCTGGAATCTTGCCATTCCATTCATTATCATCAGTTTCAATAACTTCCAGAGGTGTATCAACAAGATGGATATTATGTGTTCCTGGTCCTTTTCTTTTGTCAGAATTCCATCCCTCAGGATATCCAATCAGCTTAAAACATTAATCCTTAATATGCCCAGTCCTTTTACAATAAGTACAGGTCACTAATTCTGGAAATCCAATTATCTTATAGCAGTTCTCTTTCAGATGACCTTCTCTGTGACAGTAAGAACAGATGACTGGATTCTTTTCCTTTTTCTGATTGTTCCTTGGATCATTATTATTCATCCAACCACCTCCTTTGGCGATCATGCCAAATTTTCTGTTCCAGCAGCAACATTTATGCTTACTTGATGATTTTTCTCAGCCTTGAGTATCATAGAATAGATACGATTGACATTAGGAATTGGATCCATCATCAGGATCTGATTCTTTTTTGCTTCAAAAACTTCACTCAATCCCATCATAAACTACGTTGACTTATCTTCTGTTGCAGGATCATCAATGAACTTCCTGATAACATTCAGAGCATTAATTGCTCCCAGAAGATATTGAGGTGACTTAGATGCATCAAACAGTGATTTTAAAGCTCCTTCACAATTAACATCTGGACGTATTTCACCGAGTTGATCACCCAACTGCTTGAGCTTTCCATAGTAGTGTGTGACTGGTAAATTCTCTTGTTTAATGACAGCAATCTCTCGCTTGATCTGAAACAACAAAGACAGATTTGCAACACCATACCTTTCTTGAATTTTCTTTTACAGCTCTCGTGCAGAAGTGATATACATGAATTGATTAACCAGATCATCAGAGATTGACCCCAGGATCCATGATACGACCATGTTGTTGACCTTTCTCCACTTTCTGAAATAAGGTGAGCTGCTTTCAGGTTCTGGACAACTCCCATCAACAAAACCGAGCTTGCTCTTTGCCTCTATAGCTGTGATCATTGCAGTTTTCCAAATCACGTAGTTGTTGTCGTTCAAAGGAGTGGATACCAGCTTCATACCAAGATGATCTGATCCATGGAGTTGCAATTGTTCTTCAAATTCTTCCATAATCAACCGTTGATTCTCTTGTAATCGCCATTATCTGTCAAGGACCTTCAAGATGCTTGATGAATTGCACACGAGCGCAAGTAGAACAAACTCAAAAGAATCGAAGAATTAAAAGAAAAACAGAACGGATCAGGAACAGAGCCGGATTAACCCGCTCTAATACCATATGAAGAATCCAATTCTCGTATCATAAAGTTGAGAAGAAGAAAGAATTGATCAAAAAACTAAGAAGAAGCAACTCTGTTTTCGAATGATTCAAAACCGAGGAAAAAGATCAGCTGAAAAGTGTGAATGAATTTCTTCTATATTGTGTTAATTCTGTACAAGAGATTTACAAGTATATATACCAAATTAAGTCAGCTGATCTTTGCTACTGTCACCTAACTGTCACTCTATATACATCACTGCCTGTAGAAACTAATATATATACATCACAGAACATTTAATCACAGTCGGTCACGCTAACTTTGCTTCTAAGCATGCTGATCAACCTATGCACTTCAGGAGACAACTGTGTCTTTCCTGAATATTCTTGGATCTTCCAGATCAGACGGATTTCGTGCTGTACATGGAAGATTCGATTCAGTGCAAGCATGTGCATGATGCTGTTGTGTTACTATTACTGATGTGGAAGGCTAAATATTCAACGAAGTAGAAAAACATAAGTCCAGAATTAACACACACATAAATAAACATCCCCGGAACACCTGATGAACTAAGAAGTAAGGAATGTAATTAAACTTTCCAATTTTGGTTGCAATTGTGGCAATGCACTAAGATAGTCATTGGCTCATCGGCGCTTCGGGTCTGCATCTGACTATAAGTTGTTGCAGAAAACTCGCTTCTGCGGCACTGCAGCTCCTGATTCCCTTCCCCCTTTGACTCTGGTGCCGGAAGTATTTCGCAGTTGAACTTTGGCAATCCCCTGATTTGCTCGTTCTCCAACTTTCTTGCCTGGCTTGCCATGTCTTTTGTTATCAACAGACTGATTGATTCAGGGCTAAACTCCTCAAGAAGAACTTTCTTTCGGAAATCAGGGTTCTTATCGTCTTTCAAATTGAAAATTACCGACCAATACTTGGCTTTGTTGGGTCTCTACATGGTCTCCAGCCTCTAAACAATTCAGTTTCCACCACCACAGCAATAGTAAATGGATCACAGGGCGAAGCCTTTACTACCTCCTCTCCTATTTCATCAACCTCGCTTAACACTTTACTCAATGATTTCGCTAGGTCTTCCTGAATCTTGTCCTTGATTTTGTCCTTGGTTTCCCCTAACGAAGCTTTGCGGTCCACTGGAATTTTTGCTTCCAATAATATTATTCTGTTTCCCGGAACTAGACACTGTACTTTGGCTTTTTCCAGAGAGCTTTAAGGTAGTATGTTTATCACTATCATCATCAACATCCTCCATTAATTGTTTTCGAGGCTTACCCAAAGCCTCCTCCTTAATCGCGCCTGAAGACAGAGGCGCAGTCTTGATTTTCTTGATAGGAAGCTGGTCGACGTTCAACAGTTGAATTTGTCGGAGACGTTTTCCGCCTCTCTGGAAGTCTTTCAGTTGCTTCAGGCTGAGCTCTTCATCCATGGGAGTATGCCAACCACCGATCACGCTCACAGATCTCTTTGCCGTCACAAACATCTTAGTTCCTTGCTGCTAACCCCGACTCTATACTTCTACTTATCCTTTTTGCCAAATAACTAGAACTTTTCTCACTGGATCTTAATATTTTGCGAAGCAGATAACTAGTTTTTATATATAGACAAACTTTGAGTCGGTTAAATCCATTTCCTACCCACAGACGGGATCAAAACCTGAAGAATTTTAGGAATGGGTTTGTGTTTCCTATCTCATAAGGAAACGCAGGAGCGGCTGGTTGAGTCCCATTCCCATTTGCCAAGGCAATTTGCAAAGTCTCCTAATTCCAACCAATATGGATCATTAGTGTTTCTTAATATCAAAAGGAAACGCGGTAGTGGAAAGCTGCACTTGGTTTATCACTATTGTATGACCATTAGGCAATTAGTGAGAATAAAATCACATCTGTTTAAATTTGACAAACATTATCTTTTAGAATGAAAAAATAAAATAAAAAATATTAGACCAAACAGATTCAGAAACACCATTTGCCTTTGCATATTGTGCTAACCCATGAGCTGCACTACTTATACAATACAATTATAATTGATCACGGGAAGCTGGTTTTTTTAACTTAAAAATAAAAAAGGAAAAATATATTCTGTTGAAGTTTCTTCATTGTATACCATAATAACCTATGCCGCATTACCCAAAATCAGGGTTCTTGAGAAGACTAGATTCCTCAACCTGCAGAATCGCGTGGTAAAATGCAAAAGACTTCCACTTGGAAGACTAGTTAGACCAGGATATTTCTTACTCTTTCCCTTGGTGAAACTGCACTTCTCCAGGGATATCAACTATTGGCAATGTTACTAGGGGCTGAGAGCTGCCCCAAAGTAGATTTTAGGGGCATCAAAGTGGGGCATCACGAACACGATTGGATGTCAATCATCTCTGAGATGTAATCGGGGACTAGCATCCTAAAATCACATACATGAAGCTCAAGAAGCCACAACGTTTCAAAGACTATTCCAAATGCTCCAATTCAGATAGGAGACCAAAGGATAACAAGACACTGAGCATTGTGTCTTGTGACAGCAAACAAGGTCAAATCATCAACACCTAATCACACAAATTTCATGCAAAACCAGAGATCAGACGCTGGTACGTCTTTCCGTTAGGCTTAAGCCCCAACTTCAGCATTTCATCATGTATTTTCATTGCATGACTCAACTCTTCAACATGACAAAGCTCTCTAATCACGATTGTAAAACTTACGGTGTTGTGAACTTTTTTGTATTTTCATGAAGAGTAAGAAAATGCCTAACCAATGGAGGAAGAGTACACTAATACCCTTGTTTAAAAATAAAGGAGATATACAAAATTGTGCTAATTATAGGAGCATAAAACTAATGTGTCACACAATGAAATTGTGGGAAAGGGTAATAGAAACTAGGCTAAGGCAAGAGACAAACATAATGGAAAACCAATTTGGCTTTATGCCCGGAAGATCAATAATGGAAGCTATACATTTATTAGGAAAAATTTTTGAGCATTTTAATGAGAGAAAACAAGATTTACACATGGTTTTAATTGACCTTGAAAAGGCATATGATAGGGTTAATAGAGATATAATGTGGCGGGTATTAGAAAAGAGAGGAGTGAGAGTAGGATATATAAGAATATAAAAGACATGTATGATAATGCAACAACTTGTGTGAGGACTCCCGTAGGGATTTCAGGTGAGTTTCCCATCAAGGTTGGTTTGCATCAAGGGTCGGCGTTGAGCCCATACCTTTTTGCTTTAGTAATTGATGAAATCACTAAACACTTGCAAGTAGCCATCCCCAAATGCATGTTATTCGCGGATGGCATAGTTCTAATAGATGAAACAAGGGAGGGGATTAATGCCAAGTTAGAGACTTGGAGGGAGGCGTTAGAATCTAAAGGTTTTACAATTAGTAGGGCGAAAACGGAATATATGGAATGTCATTTTAGTAACCGTAGGAGTAATAGCATGGTAAATGTTACGATTGGATAACATGAAGTGAACACATCTAAAAGTTTTAAATATTTAGGATCCGTTATGGAAGAAAATGGAAGTATTGATAAAGATGTAATGCACAGAATCCAAACCGGGTGGAAGAAATGGCGTAGTGCCTCGTCGATACTTTGTGATCGTAAAGTACCATTGAGTTTGAAAGGTAAGTTTTATAGAAAGGCCATTCGACCGGCGATGCTTTATGGATCCGAGTGTTGGGCCACTAAATATGAAAATGAGCAAAAAATAAGAGTAGCGGAGATGAGAATATTAAGATGGATGTGTGGGCATACTAGATTAGATAGGATTAGAAATGATTGTATTAGAGAGAAAGTAGGGGTAGCTCCTATAGACGAAAAAATGAGAGAAAACCGTTTAAGATGGTTTGGGCATGTGCGAAGGAGACCGGTAGAGGATCCGGTTAGGAGGGTAGAGACTATAGAATCAAGATTTCAAATTAAAAGGGGTAGGGGTAGACCTAAGAAAACATGGAAATAAACTATAAAAAACGATTTAAAATTTTTAAATTTGTCCGATGAGTTATACATCGACCGTACACGATGGCGACATGTGATCCATATATCCGACCGCACCTAGTGGAAAAAAGGGTTGTTGTTGTTGTTACATGTCCTCAAGCACATTAAGAGCATCACCGATCCTTCTTTGTTTGAGGAGCTTGTGGAGAAGTAGATTATATGTCTCCACGTTAAAGTACTCTGTGACAGCTTCATTTTATTATGCAACTTGATAGCTAAATCAACCTGTCCACTGGAGCAATAGTACTTAACTAAAGAGCAACAACAGAAATAATCTGGCACAAACCCTTTATCTAAAATATAATTTAAAGAATGCTCAGCCTGTTTCCATTTCAGGTTTTCACACTGAACCTTTATATATCTTGATAACTCTGCTACATCAGGATGAAATCCCTTTGCTATCAAATCTTTTAGCAGTTCATGAACTTTTCCAGATGGCTTCTGTGTGCAGAGACCAGAGGCGAAGGCATTGTAACAAACATCGTTGACCCCCATCTTCCTCTCGGAAATGATAAGATGTATTTCAATAGCATCCTGCAATCTACCGCTATTGGATAATGCTCTTAACATACATCCATATGTAGCATCCTGAAGAACAACATTCTCAGCAGATGCTCTATCTAAAAAATTTTGCAGCATAGGTCTTCCCCAAATCAGCAAGCTTCTGAATGACTGAATCATACCCTGAACTAACTTCGATAGGTACAAAACCCTTTTCATTCATAGTTCCAATAACCGTTTTGATTACTTTAGTATCTCCACATCTGCAGACCCCATCAAGAATCGAATTATAAATGCCGAGAGTTGGAACAAGCTTTTTATCAAACATCTTATCTATATGACTAATTGCAGCATCAAAATCCCCTCATTCACCATAGTTCTGGATTAATAAATCAAACAGCACTGAACTATTGATTCCCATATCCAAAATCTTACTAATTCTCTCAAATTTTCCATCTTTAATTAGAATTCTCCCTAAAATGTGCCAGGTAAACTGATTCTCGAATGCCCCATTTCGAATCATAGAACTATACACACACACCAAGCCAGTCTAGTCTCATTCTTATGTTCTAACAAATGCAGTAATCCATTACATCCATGTACAGATATTACACCATTCCTAAATTCTTACCTTCAAGATAAACTCTCAAAGCTTCCAAATACAAACCTTATTTACAATATCCCTTAAGAACAGCGCATAAAACAAAGGAGCAAGTTTCAAAGTTAGCAACTTTACACAAAGAACTCACCACTTGATTCGACGGGTAAGCTTGAACAATGGAACCCAAAATGGGTCTTGCAAGGTTGGACAGTCAAGACCCGTATAGCAAATGGATCAGCTTACACAGGTTCTTAAGGTCGGGTTCAAAATGCAAATTCTTCCTCGCCCAATTGTAGAACTCCAGGGAGATTCTCGGGGAGGCTTTGGTGTTATTCGGGATTTGGAGGAATTGAAAAGGGGTTAATGAGGAGAATTTGAGAGTGGTTTGGAGAAGGGATGCCCAGTATTTCATTTGTCGCTGTAAGATGATTGCGGAAACTTAGGAGATCAGTTGAGTTTCCCGGCGTTGAATTTTCCAATTATTGGGAATGTCGAAAATTGATAATTGTTTTGACGTTGTACATACTGAAGAAGTCGATTGACGTTTGGTGAAACCCTCACTAGGGATGTGGGTATCGTTCGATTCGACGAGGATTTAGGAGGAGTATTTCGCCAGAACCACTCTTGAGTCTTGACTCTTCTCAGGTGGGTAGTGAACTTTAGAAGAATGTAGGCTTTGTATTTGTTTGCACAATTTTTTGTCCTAAGAAGAGTTTATGCAAACATATCTATTAAACAATTGTGCATAGTTCCCAACAATTGTGCTAATCAAAATAATAAAGATTTCGGAAATTAAAAATCGGCCGTCGGCCAGATTTTATTAAAATTCGTTGAAGAATATTTACAGCCGCCAAAATTCGGCCTAATCTATGAAGTTCTTGGAGAACCCTAATTTTAGAGGCAAAATTGAAAATGAAAGTCAGAAAATTAAAAGAAACAATTTGATGCTATTTTGAATGTGTCCTTCCTCTTACCGCCGATCTCCTTATATAGACCTTGTAAACTAAGTCGGTTCACAAATCCCTTTCAAACTCTAATTTGGCCTCTTTTTTAAATCCAACTTGGGCCATTCGAGCCTCTCTCATCGCGGCCCAATGCTTGACATCGCCAGCACAGCCCAACTCCAGTCTTCTTGCTCAGCCGCAAAAACTGGCCCAACATAAAGCCCCCCAAGAAAATATGTGCCTTAATCTGAACAAAATTTCTAATCTTCCCGGGCAAACTTCATGTACAGTATCCTTTCATTACTGAAACATATCCCCTTACTTGTAGCCATTATCTCAATCCCAAAAGAAGTGGGATTCAAATTGATGCATATCTTCAACAAATCTGTAAATAATATGCTCTTTTACGAACTTAATTTCATTTCTTTGATCGGCTTCTTTGATAGGAACTGCTTTCACCCACTTAGTGAAGTAATCAGTAGTCACTATGACATACTTATGTCCCTAACTTGATGGCGGATAAACCATCCTAATCAGAACCATTGCCCAACAACTAAACGGCCAAGGCTTCACAATAATTTGCATTTGCTTCGGATGCATTTTCTAAATATACCCATGCTTCTGACATTCTTTGCACCCTTGTGCAAACTCAATGCAATCCTTAGTTATACTCGGCCAAAAGTATCTGTATCTTCGGATTAACCAAGACATCTTTCTTCCACCTTGGTGAGCACTACAAACTCCTTCATGAATTTCCACCATAATTAAGAATGCTTCTGGTTTGCTAACACATTTTAACAACACTTCATCCTCTGTCTTCTTATATAACAAACCATCAATGAGCAAATAATTAGCCGATTGATTTCGAAGTCTTGAATCCACTTTCTTTTCCGGGAAAGCCAAACACTCAATCAACGATGTTCTCCAATCTGTTTCCGTGTCAACCATATTGATCGACACCACTGAATCCTCATAAGCTGGCCGGTCTAAGTCAACAATATAAAAGGACAAGGACTGATCCTCAATCGGCCGATAATCTGAAGCAGCTTGCGACATACAATTAGCATCCTGATTACACTCTCTGGGGCAATATTCAAATTTGATATATTCAAACTGCTCTTTAAGCCTTTCTACAACCTCCCAATATTTAAATAGCACATCATCATTGCAACGACATTCATTTGAAACTTACTGAATGATCAACCAGGAATTGCAAATTACTTTTGCTCGTTTAACCTTATTGAAACAACAATGTCTCTAACCCATAGACAATGCCTTCATACTCTGCCTGATAATTAGTACTTTTAAAACCCAATCGAACCTGAACTCTCATCACTACACCATTCGGAGATACCATCACAATTCCAGCTCCACTTTTGACGAAAGTAGTAGATCCATCAAAATATAATTCCCATGGCCTTTCCTCTACAGCCATAATCTCATAAGATTCTACTTCTTTCTTAGACCAATCTTGGTCCAATGAAGGGTATTCCGCTAAGAAATCAGCCAATGCCTGCCCTTTAACTATCGATTGTGGTACATGTTGAAACTGATACTCCGTCAACGCCAATGCCCACTTTCCTAGGCGACCACTCATGGTCGGCCGATACAACATATATCTCACAAGATTTACTTTACTGATAACGAATACCATAACCGGCAACATATAATCCCTTATCTTTGTGGAAGCGTAATATAAAGCCAAACACAATTTCTCTATCGGTGGATAACGCCGCTCGATATCATTCAACAATCGGTTCAAATAATAAACCACTCTTTCCAATCCATCATCACCATCTTGAGCTAAGAAACAATCAATAGAATCCTCGGTGGCTGATATACAACTTCAACGGCCTACCTCCTTGTGGAGACGTCATTACAGATGGATTCAGCAAACACTTCTTCAGCAAATCAAAAGCTTCTTGTTGCGCTTCTCCCTAAATGAACTCACCAGTATTGTTAGATTTCAACAACGGTGAAAACACCTTAATCTTGCTAGACAAATTTGCAATAAATCGTCTCAAGATATTCATCTTACCCATCAAACTTTGTAGCTCTTTCGTATTTCTTGGCGGTCTGGCCTCTATAATTGCCTTAGCCTTCTCAACATCAACCTCTATTCCTCTTTCTTGAACTAAGAATCCTAAGAAATTACCAGAAGTCACACCGAAAACACACTGTAATGGGTTTAATTTTAATTTATACTTCCTCATTCGGGCTAACGCCTAAGCCAATTGATCTAAATGTTCTTCAAAAGTATGGGATTTCATCACAACATCATCAATGTAAACCTCCACCATACTCGCGATCATGTCATGGAAAATGTATTTCATGGCTCTTTGGTATGTTGCTCCTGCATTCTTTAGACCGAACGACATAACTCTCCATTGGAAAATTCCCAATGCTCCAGGGCAACGAGACGCCGTCTTTGGGACATCCTCTTCAGCAATATAAATCTGATTGTATCCGACATTTCCATCGACAAAACTCTTAAAACGGTACCCAACCAATTGATCAATCAACATCTCTGCAATCAGCATATGATACTCATCCTTAGGAGATGCCAAATTTAAATCCCGAAAGTCTACTCAAACCCGGGTCTTACCATTCTTCTTAATTATTGGGACCACGTTTGCTAACAAATCTGGATAAACTGCCACTTCTATAAATCCAAACGCCAACAACCTCAGTATTTCCTCAATCTTAGCGGTCACCTCATCTGAAAACCTTCGTGGCGCTTGTTCTTTCAGTTTAAACTCCATTTTTGTCAGAATTGTGTGTTCAATCAAACTACGATCCAATCCTGGCATTTCAGTATAATCCCAGGCGAAACAATCTCGGTATTCCATCAACACCTTTATCAAAGCCTTCTTTTGTTCTTCCGTCAACACCACACTTATGAATGTTGGTTTCTGCTCGTCACCAATTCCTAAATTCACCGATTCAATCCGTTCTTTTGTCACCACAGCATCATCTTCCAACTTGCTTCTAGCTTTTGCCAATTCCGACAATTCGATTCCATCAGATTCATCCAAAGGTTCATCCTCACACACAGCATCTATGATGCATAAAACCAATGACTCTAACCACTCAATTACTGGATCCCTTGTCATCATCGGAAACGTCTTCTATAATCGGTCCAGCATCTAGCAGCATAGGTGCCAAATATTGGCATGGCCTGCGGATCTCTTGCAAAAACTTCTTCCACTCCCTAATTCCAATATTCTTCATGGGAGTCGCGGTCATAGGTTTACCGTACTTATCAATTCCAAGTAACCTACATGGACCAACATCTTTCTCATAGTAAAATGCTTCGGCTGCATTACTTTGCACCGTAAACGGTTTAGCATCAGCATTAATCATTTCCGGTCCATCTGCCCCCCAAATCACCAAGGCCTGATGAAAAGACGAGGGAGCACACTTAACCGAACGAATCCAGTCACGGCCTAACAAAGCATTGTAAGAACCTGTAGTATCTACTATGAAGAAGGCCGATATAACTGATTGAGAACCAATTTCTACCTTAACCGGAAGTATTCCTCGAGAACTTATTATATCTCCAGTAAAACCACTAACTGCAATCTCGGTCGGAACCAAATCCAACTCCTGTTTTCCTAACTTTTGTAATGTAGATGTGGGCATAATATTCAGGGCTGCACCGTTGTCAACCAGTATTTTATTAATCGGAACACCATTCAACAGAGCTTGCACATATAGCGGCTTCACATGACTGGTCGACATCGATTCTTGCACCGAAATGACTACCGCTGGTGAATCCCCATCAGTTGTTATTTTTATTCCCAACACTTCCTTGGATCGTTGATCATCTTTAGGTGTTGGTGTCTCTTTTGTCTCACTAATGCATGTTCTTACTAGATCTGCAACAGCATGTTTAGCAGCATATTCCTTGGGCAGTACATATACCATATTGATATCCATGCTCTTTTGTTTCTTAACTTGCCAATGTTTGGTTATTCGCACCTGCCTGTTAAGCGTGTTATACGGCAATTGTTCATATTCTCTTCTTTTCTTTACATCTTGGTACCTCCCAGCGCGTTGGCGTTGCCATCTTCGGTGTTGTGTCCGAGTTATGCCACTGTTCGATACTACAGGAATCGAAAACCTAGGATGTTTAACTTTATGCCAAAAAACTTCACTGGCCTGATTTGGCCTCACCATCCTTGGCGCGACATTAGCCGTGATGGGAACAAACGGCTGAGCAGATCGACCAAAACTGACTCCTTGATGGTAATCTGGCCGTGACAACCTGTCCCTTACCATTCTGATACCGAGTCTATTTCCATCCAATGCCTGGGATGTGCGTGGACCTAAACGTTCTTGAATCATCCGTCTTAGCTTTGTATCCTTATCAATTGGCATGGGCTCCTATAAAGCTTTCTCCTTCACAGCCTGCGCTAAAGATGCCGTTATCCTTTGCTGATAATTTTCTGGTATTTCTTGTACCTGCGGCTTCCTGATCCACGTCTGTAACTGCCCATCAATCTCAATAGTCACTTCCTCCTCAATCTAAGGAATAGCATTTCGCTGATGTAGATGACCACCATTCATGCTTCCCAATCGGCACACTTCTTCCTTAATTGAATCTACAATCTGATCGCAGTCTGGACAGCCGATGTGCACCTTCTGTCTTGCATAAGCATTAGCCCGTGGATCCATGTCTATCATTCCAATCACATGATTAACGGGAAACGGTTCAATCATGACAACTGTTGGTTCTTCTATTTGTATGTCCTCGTCGTCAATCATCTTTTGGATCACATTCCGAAACACAACGCAGTCATTTGTTCCATGTGTCATGGACATATGATACATGCAATAAGTCTTGCCTTCTATATCGGCAGGCTTCGGCTGTCCCTGCCCCTTCCGATACGTAACATGTCCATTTTTTAGCATGTCTTCAAAGATTGCCTCCTGCTAAGTGAAATCAAACGAGTACGTCCGTCCTGGAATTTTAGGATCGGCTCTTGGCTTTGCTCCGACACCTGTCCCTGGCCCAGGCGGCACACCGTATGCTTGTGGGGTACTTGGCTTCTTCAAGGCACTACATTTATAACCTTTCATGTTTACTATCTCCGCCGCGTTGATATCCTCAAACTCATCCTCCTCTTCAATAGCAAAACATTGAGCTTGATTTACTACTGGCTGATTAAGAGGATTAAACCACTGTCGACCACGACTCTTGTGGCTTTCTGTCCACCAAGCTTGGGTACGGCTTGCCAGGCACTTCCGGCACCTTGACACCTAAATCTCGCTGCAATTCTGACATCAATTGGCGCAACTCAATTTGATCAACAGTCAAGGTTGGATTTGCATTAACCTGCAGTGCTTGCCCTATACCAACCGCATGTTGGCCCAAGTTATTCATCTGCCCTTGGCCCTCCAGCACCTGAACGGTGAAATTATTATTAAGATGAACCACTGCCTGATTCACTACAGGCTCCTGATACTAATTCTGTACACTGACAGGAGGCCCTTGAGGAACCGATGGCATACCCATTGTTTGATTCGGTGTACCGATTGGTGGGTTAATTACCGGAATCAATTGTGGATAATGATTAGGTACTTGTATCAGTTGGAAGTATTGAAGTTGTCCTTGTTGATTAGCCATTGTTACATATCGAGGCTGATTCCTAACCGGCACCTATGTCTGATTTCTGGGAGCATTGTTTTGAACTGTGTTAAAGCCTGCTGTTGTGGTCCTGGAAGTGGCTTCTCGATTTCTATTTTGCTCCTGCTCCATGTTAGTCCACAATCGATTTTCCAGTACCTCTTCTCTAGTAGGATGTGGCGGCAAAGATGACCCCCCTAACATAGCCAACAACCTATTCCCAACCGCTACCGATTGCTGATCTGCCATCTGCGCGGTCTGCTGGTTGCTTGTTGCCGATCCAGTTACTGGTGCAGTAGTAGCCGTCGTTTGCAAGGCCTCAGGAGGTATCGATCCCTTGAAGATTTTATATGGAGTCATTGTCCCAAAGCTCCCGTCAAGCAATCGATCTTGTATATAGACGGTTTCCTCCGCATACATCTGTTGATTGCTCCCATAAGTTCCTGATGGTCCAGCGGTGCTAGGATCTGGAGGTACCCCTTTTGTAGTTGTTGCCACTGAAAACGGCTGATATTGGTTAGAAATTGGTGGGGCTGATTTACCATCAAATGTAAAATTCCCATACGGAGGAATATATGCTGGTTGTCGTGGCACTGCTTTCTCATACCAACTGCCAGGTGTCTGTTGTGTAGACGGGCCTGGAGTGTCGTGACCTAAAAAGTGCAACGGATTGGTGCTGAAATTTTCTGGCAACTTGCTCGCTTGCGTTCCTTGTCTGAGGTAATTTGGGGTGACTAGCCATTGTCCTGGCCCTTTAATAGCATTAATATCCATTTACAACGAATTGACCCTGTCAACTAGCAATGCCATAGCACTCATGATATCCTGAGTCAAAACGGATTCATTAGCAGTTGTCCGTTCCGACGAATTTTGCAGTGTTAGTCCTCTTATATGCTGAGCTGTTGTATGTGCAGGCGCCGCTGTCTTTGCTGGAGGTGGAGGCGGATTTGGGATATTTGTATCGGTTGCAGGTGGAGTTAACATCTTGAATTAGCATAAAGTTGATGAGTCCCACCGGCCATGCCAAAAATATGTTTGCACAATTTTTTGTCCTAAGAAGAGTTTATGCAAATATATATCAAACAATTCTGAGTAGTTCCCAACAATCGTGCTAATCAAAATAATAAAGATATCGGAAATTGAAAATCGGCCGTAGGCCAGATTTTATTAAAATTCGTTGAAGAATACTTACAGACGCCGAAATTCGGCCTAATCTATGAGGTTCTCAGAGAACCCTAATTTTAGAGGCAAAATTGAAAATAAAAGTCAGAAAATTTAAAGAAGCAATTTGATACTATTTTGATTGTGTCCTTTCTCCTACCGCCGATCTCCTTTTATAGACCTTGTAAACTAAGTCGATTCACAAATCCATTTCAAACTCTAATTTGGCCTCTTTTTTAAATCCAACTTGGGCCATTTGAGCCTCTCTCATCGCGGCCCAACGCTTGACCTCGCCAGCACAGCCTAACTCCAGTCTTCTTGCTCAGCCGCAAAAACTGGCCCAACAGTATTTTTGCTCGGCATATATATATTTTTTTATACTCCTTGTAATCTTTCTTTTCTCCCTCATAATTTATTCTTTTCTTTTTGAATTATATACATTTATTTTCTTTATGAATTATGTACATTTGTTATAATAATAGAGATATAATAGAATCGTGAGTGTTAAAACTTGTTTAATGAAATTATAAACCACACATTTGTTAATCATTCTCTCAAATCAAAAGTTACCAATCACATTAAAGTTATATGTATGGTTGTGATCTAAAAAATCAAAATGTTATACATACGGGTGTATTAAATTAAGGATAATGATTGGTACAAGGAAAAAATAACAAGGAAAAAATACAAGGAAATGATATCACCGTGGCAATAAAGGTGACTTCATCAGAGCGGAATGCAGGTATATGGGAATGGCAACAAGTTTTGAAGCAGAGATTGCAGCAATTTTCCATGGTCTTCAGTACTGCATTGGAAAAAGAATAACTCGAGTTATCATTCATCAAAATAAGGGATTTCCATGGAAGCATCACTATATTTTTAAGGAAATTCAAGGCATGATTCGGATCTCCAATTCACAAATCATACATGTCTACAGAGAAGTTAACAGCATGGTAGATGAGTTTGCAAAGATGGCATCAAATGGATCAACCATTTCAGTATGATAGTCGGGAACAGTTACCAGCCTCTTTGGTAGGTAAATGGTATCTCGATAAGTGTTCATTTCTCTATATTAGGTTTAGATAGGAATATATATTCACTACCTAGATGGAGATGTCAGGGGATTTATGTGAGATCTTTGTAAGACATTCTCCTAGGAATGTTTTTATGAACTATAGAGAATTGTCAAGGGATATTGCACTATCCATTTGAGACAATTTTTCATAGCTGTAATTGCATAGGATTCGTCAGGAGTTTTTTAGAAAACTTTGTAAGGCAGCATCCTTTTCTTTTGGGTAATCTTAAGCACTGCATTGTGTAATTTTTACATTTAATTAATAAAATCGGGGTCCTCCAGCCAGGTACCGCCCTGGATTTCCCAAAAAAAAAAAAGAAATTCAAACTAGTAGAAGGGAACAATAATGCATTTAAATTGCCATGAGAGTTGTCCAATCAATCGAAAAATGAAACTAAAATGGTATGAATGGTTCATAGAATATATGAGCATTTAACTGCACCTTGTGAGAAATAGTTCATCATGGCCTCATAGGATCGGACTATAACCACTATTCAATATGCAAATCAACAAAAATATTTCGTAAATATGAAATCAATAAAATGAGCCATGTTGTGACTCTAGCTAACTGAGTACAAATAGTACCCAAAAAAAATCATGAAAAACTTAAAAAAAAAAAAAACAGAGTCCAAAACCAAAGCTCTCTCAAGACTTCATCAATTCAAGTAATCACTGGAACAAACCCAAATTTAATGCAATGCTTGAATCTCAAATCCGCCCACCTTATATTACTAGCTAGGATCCCATATAATGACGTTCGTGGATCATTGTTTAATCTCTGCATTATAATATGTCAAGGAAATGCAAATGATAAGTGCAAGCTAGAAATTTAGAGACAAATCCTACGAATTCGACTAAAGTCCAATGTTGGAAAGCATTCACTCTATAGAACCCATGTGATCTAGATGCATGTAAAAGAATTCAGTATATGTTGATTGATTGATCATTTACTTAAAATGAAAACCAAAAAAAAAAAAAAGAAAAAGAAAAGAAAACAAGTGTTCACCACCACCCCAAATGGATTTTTATGTACTTTTTAAGTGTGGGTATTCTGAAACAAAATACCCCAACATTAAAAGTCACGATCTTTCAATGTGGTAACGATAGCAACAATCAGGGAAAATAGTGATATTTTTCTCTGCCCGTAATAATTATATTTAGTGCATGGTATTTAAAGGTAATGATAGTGATATACATAAATGAGAGCTAAAAGTAATCAGCTATGGTATAAATGAACTTTTAAATGTTATTGGCCAGCATACAACTTAAGATCCCTAATTGTTGGACGACGAAAATCTCATACCAGCTAATTATAGGTTCCTTTCGACCTAAAATGATGGTCCAATTTGGATTTTAAGTTTTAGTACAAGCTTTACTATTGTTGAAGATTCCTAATGGTTCAACTATAAAATCTCATACCTGCTAATTTACAAAAAACTCATTTTGTCCCAAAATGATTGTACAATTTGAATTTTTTACTTTTAGTAAAATTTTGATCTAAAAGTTTGTAATAAAGTTAGAATCCCAACTGGATAATTATTTTAGAACATAGAGATCATCTATGTTGATTAAAACTGTTTGATAAATTTTATTTATATATTACGCTGAAATTATGTTTATTACTCAATATTTATGCTTAACCCTTCCGGTCCTTAATAGGTTTAAAAAATAATTACTAGTAATTACGTTGATAGGTTAGTAACAACGAAGTGTTACCACCAAACAAAGTGAGTATTTAATGGCTCATAATCCTCGTTTGAGTTACTAAGGAAATCTCAACGTTTTCATTAGTACATGTTTCATTTCTTTTCCCCTTTAGCACCATTATATATATTTTTTTGGTTCCTCCTCATTTTTTTAAGTTCAAGTAATTTTGTCAATACTCTACCTCTTTTTTGTAACACCGATTTGATCAACCTATTATATAAAAAGAGAGTTTGTCACTTTTTTTGTAGTATTCTCACATGTGTGAACTATATTGTCGTTTCCTCTCTTTCGTCGGTTTTAGTTTCTAGGAATTCCTCCATTATTTAACCATAACTACAATCCATCCAATTCATTAATCATTTTCCCATTTATTGTAACCATTTCTACAAATATTCATGATCCTTGTAATAATGGTGTTAGTGTGAAATATATGGCTTTTTCCGCTTTCCTTCATTATTTTATAACAACCACAACTAATCTAATTCATTATTTTTTTTCATTTATTGTAAGCGTTTATAAGTCCATGATTACTCTAATAATGAATTTATCATCGACCTATTATATATAAAAAGAGAGTTTGTCACATTTTTGGTAGTATTCTCACATGTGTGAACTATATTTGGCTTTTCCTCTTTTTCGCCGATTTTAGTTTCTTTGACTTCCTCCATTATTTAACCATAACTAGAATCCATCCAATTCTTTTTTTTTTAATATAGGGGAGCCAAACTTCTTAAGTATGAGTGGGATCCGATTATTTTGATTTCCATAACTTCTAGAATAGTTATACAGAAATGAACTAATCTAAGATGAACGATGAATACTATAGTACTGTACCCTACAATACATTGATGAACATAGATTCTAAAAGAAAATGATAATTTCTAGCGTTGGTTACACTTGGTCTCTTCCAGTTTTGTTTTTGTTTGAAAAAATCAGGAATCCTGCTTTTGGAGCTACCAGTTCTTCGAAGCATAGAATTACGGCCATTGATTGATTCTTACTCCACGGTATCCTTGGTATCCTTAATTTGTCTGGCATATTCATGTCCGCCTCCGACCGGGATGTTGCCGTCAACCTTTCCTTTTTTGAGTTCTCAAATTGAATTCGAAAAGAAAATGTCCTAACGGACCCAAAAGCCATGGATCTCGTACAGTGTAGCAGGCATCACATTAAGTTTATCTAGGATCTCGTACAGTGTAGCAGGGCAATCCAATCCATCCAATTCATTATTCACTTTCCCATTTATTATAACCATTTCTACAAATATTCATGATCCCTCAAATAATGGTGTTAGTTTGAAGTATATGGTATTTTCCTCTTTCGTTCAATGGTTTTGGTTTCTTTGATTGAGAAATAATCATTTACGATTTATTTGGGAATAATCAGACGTGACACTTTTTTGTTCATCTCTCTTTTTTATAATTTTTTATGGTTTTAATTTTTTTTCTTTTATGGTATTAGGGCCTTTTTCGGTTAGTGGAGAAAGCAGAGTTTTTGATATGGCATGTCATGGGAAAATCCAATCTTAGATGAAAAAAATTCAAAGTATGGATTTTTTACCGTCTTCTATCAGAATAAAATTTAATTTACTTGTCTATTTCTCATGTGTTTCTTTATATGTACTAAGATGGTGTTTTATATTAATGGTGCAATATAAGTTGTGCAAAAGGATTGAATTTTGTGGGCGATTAGAGAAGGACTTATGGAAAAAGTGTGTAAATAGTGATTTACATTTGATTGGATAATACTATTTAGTTTGGTCATTGTTGCAACAACATAGGTTTTGTGCTAGATTGGAATATAAGTGGCATTTGAAACATAAAAGAAGTGCATGCCCAAGTGCTCTGAAACTAAAGTAGTAATACATCTTATGCTCTTTTAATGTATAGTTTTGCCAATTGAGTAGATAATGATTCAATGGGAATTTGTTTCGTATCACTTTCTCATTTATGCATTTTATAGTTCTATTATTTAGCATAAATTTACTAACACTTTGTTGTTAGTAAAATGAAATACTTTTCTTTTTGTAATTTTTTACTTTACTTTTTCTTTTGAAAAAAAGTGAAGATACGTAATTCAATATTTTGTTATTTCATATATATTATTTAAGGTATTCGCGAAGGGCGTCTGATTTAACTAATTAAAATTAAAAGGAACTGGTTCGTCTAATCGGTTTTGAATACCCGCTCTCTTCGACATGGGCGGATTCAACCCCAGATCGTTTTCCATTGTCTGTCAATATTCCTGCAGTACTAGTATTTTGCCCAAATTATTTCAATCCAGGCTAGACATTTTTCCTTCAAAAATTAGAAAAAGAAAGATATACACAAGTTTTAGGTCGTGTATCTTAGGGTTCTCAACTTATAGTAAATGATAAATAAGAGCAACAAAGAAAATGTCAGGAAAAGACGTAAACCAAAACGAAGAAGCTCAAGTGTTCGCGAAAATGACAACATTCCCAAAGACAATGGAGACAATGAAGAAGCTCATGTCTTTGTGAACGCACCTTGTTTGTGTAAGAAAAAGTAAGAAAAGGGGACACAATTCGAGAGAGGGAAGATACTTCACAGTATAAGGTAAATCTCTTAATCCACTCAATTAGCTCATCACGTAGCCTTCGTCTCCTTGATCTTCTTATTAGGCTGTTGACGATAATCACTGCAATATAGTAGTACGTACATTGATCTTAAAGAGAGGGTCTCGGAACTGTAATTAAATTTTTTTTTCTCTTATAATAACAATTAACCAAAAAAAAAGAAGAAGAGGAAATTGAAGAAACAAAATAATTGTTTCTTGAGACATACTAATTGTTACATTTGTAAGCAACCTAAGAACTGATGCATAAGGTTACTTTCAACCGCACTAGTTGAACAATCCATTCTATCAATTCTTATTTCATATTGCTTCTGTATAAAAAAATATTTGAAAACATAAGTCAAATAGTATGACTTATCATTTTTATTTGCCCAAGAAAAGTTTGTGAATTTGATATCTCTTCGTGAATGGCAACTTCTAAGATCAGAGAATTAACTTCAAAAGTCCTTTTTCTCCAGCCCCCCATTCATACTGAATCAAAATCAAAAGTAGCATATAATATTAGTTGTTACTATTAAAATAAAAATAGGGTTTCTTATCTTTAAAAAAACGTTGTAAAAAGATGAAAACATATCCAATTTTTAATCCATATGTGCAAATAACATAATACCAAAGTTGAAATATAAAATTGACATATTGCATTCTTGATTTTCTTCTCCCACTCAGTCATTAAAATTGATATATGCATATTTTTTAAATTTTATAAAATAAAATAGATATCCGATATATTTAAAAAATGGCTAATATATATAAACAACAATTGAAAATTTATGACAACAGTGATGAAAACACATCCGTATTCAATTTCTAAACTTCTTTTTTTTTTTTTTGCTCTAACAAGTAACAAAATAAATAAATTTCATCCGAGATTATCAAGTTTTTGGTACCAACTACAAATATAATATCATAAGCAATACTAATTGTTCTATAGAAAGAGAAACATGAATTATTCCCCCATCTCTCGTTTAAGACCATGTTATTATTATTACTATGATGAATATATCATCCATAGTTATCTTGAATAAGTGATTGTGTTTGGTTTTGATGACAAGTCTCAGTGATCTTATTCACGATATTATTGATTTTGAGTTAAAAAAAAATTTAAAGGTTGTTTTAAATTTTAAATGTATCGAATAGAAAAACATATCTAAACTCATTCAAGTTAAAATTCTAAAACAAGAACCATTATTTGTTTAGTACAGAATCTCGAAAACAGTCTCTAGTTTTGGGAGATTTGATGGTTTTATTGGTTGAGATGAGACTTGTCGTATGAGGCTACTAGAGAGGGAGAGTGAAATAAATCTTCTCATCAGCAATAATTGCAACGTAAATTGGTATTTTTTGGTTCGTTTTTCAGCCAGGGCAATAACTGCAAACCTCTTGAGATTTCTTCCCCAAACAGAGTACTTGGGCTTTCCTTAAATCGGTGGAAGTTTTCCTTGTTAATTTTCAACCGCGGCCCGAATTGTCATGTTTAGGCTCCAAAACTATAATAATTTATTTTTGTATCTAACCTTTACTGAAGCCTATTGTCAATTACTTCCAACGTATGTCACTCTCGGCCAATTCCAAAGGAGAACAAATTCAATCTGCAACTTCAGTTCTTCAAATTCTTGAATCTTCTGATTCGTTCCTTATTGATTAATCTAATCTTCATTTCTACCCAAATGAGTTGCTCTTTATCTAGCATTTAGTCCACATTCTAATAATTTTTTCATTTGAGTACAATTTTTACAAACAAAAAATAAGACCACATATAGAATAATTATACTCAAACTATTAACAAAACCGCGTATAAAGAGATACTAAAAAAAGGTAAATTATATGCGCATCAAGAAGTCAGTCGGGAAATGAAGTTCTTGAGTTCGAATAAGTATGGATGTCAATTTAACAACAAATTCATCACAAGCAAGAGGAACTTCTGTTCTTGAATGTGGTAATGATCTTGCAGTGTCAATTGGTAGTAATGATGATGTTGATTCTATTGCTTTAGGAACAGTTTGTAATAAAATTGAGAAAATATAGGTTAAGAATGTAGACTCTAATGGTAATGATAACTCGTTTAGAAACGGAGGTGATATTTCTAAAAACATGAATCTTATTGCTGGGAAAACATTGAGGTACTGGATGTTGCTTTTGTGTGCTTAAAACAAACTGATGGTCGCGATAATTCTTTTGAGCTTTTGGATAATTACTCTGCTGGGAATTCTCCGTTCATCATCCCATTTCTTCACCGGAACCCTAGATCCGGCTACCTTTCTTTCTTTTTTCCCCTTTTTTTAACCAATTTCTGGTGTCCGTTCCTGACACTCGATCACTCCTAAGCCCATCCCAATCTGAAAATGAAAAAATCCCCCAATTTCAAAAAATTCTATAAAATTCAATCAAGTAACAACAACCAGTGAAATGAATGAATCAATCAATTCTTAAAGACTGTGTGGATGGCGGTGGAATTTCGTGGCATGAATATCTTGTTCCAGTCATACTCCAATTCGGAGACTCATGCCTTCCCACATTTATGCTCAATGTCGTATTTGCTCTGATAGAGATGAAGAAGAAAAAGGAAAAGGAAGCTGCTCTAGTTGCTGAGGAAGAAGAGGAAGAGGTATCTATCAAGCCCATTCTTTTTTCTCACAGTCATTTGTACGAAATTGTTGGATCTATGCAAACTATTCCCCTTCACGTTTCCATAGCTATGGGATGCCATGGTATCGTGAGGGATAGTGACTACCCTCCTCAAATTCCACCCATCCTCCTCATGATTCTCACAAACCTTTATTTCTTTCTTTTGATTTTTGGTGAACCTTTAGTCCCACCACGGAGGTCATTAGTCCCCGCTCACAGGTCTCCACCCAATTCGAATCAGGACCCATTCTCTATGTTGGGTTACTTAGGCCTTATGAAAGGCTCTGGAGTTGGAAGTATCAAAATGTATGAATCGTTGAATGAATGGTCCCTTCCTAGAACTAAATTTGTATTTGATTTGTGATTTCTGCACACACATGAGTTGATAGCTTTGGATAGAGCGGTGGAAAAAATGGAAGCTGTGAGTCATTCAGTGTTAATAGTTGCTTGGTTCCCGAGTAGACGATATTTATCATACAAAATACTTATGATGAGGACTGGGGTTGCGGTGGTTTTGCGTTCATTGATCAAGACCTTATCGATTTGAATTCAATATGGTTTCCGTTAGAGGTTTCCTTATCACCATCATCCAAGCGTGATGGTCGGATTAAACAATTGTTGACTCAGATTTAAGAACATGCGCTGCCTCTTTTCGAGGGTGTCACTTTATCTCAGACTGAACAAGAGAGATACGACTAGTATCGCAAGTTGGAGAAATGGGCAGAATCCACCATGCCTGCACACCTCCTCCTCCTTCCCCTTTTCCCTTACGTGCAGCGTCTGGAAGCACAAGGTTTATCAAGCCTACACTTGGACTCGGCTTCTTCACAAAACCTCCAATGGGCGCTTAACCAAACGATGTTGCCTCAGTAATTAGATTTGTTCATAACATTCCGTCAACACCTCTCCCTGGGAATAAGTGAAAAGAAAATGGATCATTTCCTACCTTGGAATAGAACTCTCAGGGGAAGGAAAATGAGCATTAAGAAGTAGAGTTTGTGTGTTGAAGTTTCAAGATACAAAAAATCTTATCAAAGATGTGGGTTATGGCATATGCATAATACCAGCTGTTTATACTATTTACTTTAATTCAGCCATGTACGTGTTGTTTATTTTCATTCAGTTATCTCGATGTTTTGTGCTTTGGCATAACAAGTTTTTAATCCTATGAAATTGGTGCAATATGCAATTATTCTTTATGTACTCTTTCTTTTTTGGAGCTTGAGCTGAATAGATGTTTGGTACTGATCTGGTGATACAGTGAAGCAGACAAGCAATTTAAATATATTCTAGTATACCGCATTAGCAAAGTGGATTTCTTTGTACTTCTTTGTTAGTAAAGTGTACAACTTTGTGGGTGGGGAGGGAGTATAAAGTATAAATCTTGTTTGTGTTTTTTATGGAGTATAAATCTTGTTTGTGTTGAAAAAAAAAAACTCTACTGGGAATTCCGTTGAAGAGTCTTGTGATGAAGAGTTCATATAATCAAAGAAAGTTGATTATTATGAGGTTTTAAGGGATGCCGAAAATGAGGTTTATCACATTAATCTGGATATCACAACTAATGAAGTTATAAAATTAATTAATGTAGATTTATGCATTGAGAAATTGAGTCTTAGACTGGTGGGTACGGTATTCTTCTATGCAAAATGAATGTGAGTACATGGGAGGTCTTAGGTAATGGATTCCAAAGTGGAATGACTGATACCAATGGTATATAAGTATAGGGAACATTTCCTTAGTTTGTGTAATGGTGATCATGGTGCTAGTGGAAAGTTATTTAGTTTTCATGGCTCATATGTTGTTATGTAGAATGGTTTTATGGAATTTGATTTAACTTTGATTGGTAAGCTAAATGTTTGGGTGTAGGATCCTGGAATCCACATAACATACAGAGTTAACGTGGTGAGGGAAACCAGAGAGATTAGTTTTATAGAGAAGGAAGCATCTCTCTGTAGCTGGTTCAATAAAAATATTGCAGAGATTGAAATGAACACTATTTAGTCCCAGAAACTTTGTGTGCATTGGGGTAAAATGATGATTTCCAGCATTAGTGGTTATCTCTACATCAATGAAAATATGAAAACTCAAAGCACTATTGTTCCCGTACTTGTCACAAATGCTTGTGTGGAATTCTTGCAATATAGTGATGAACTAGTGGGGTTTGGAGTATTGTTTGTGAAGCTGAGACCCTTGAAGTTAGGTTCAAGTAATTCCGATGGTAATGTGCAGTTTGAAATGTTATTGTATCCATAGAGTACAACTTTTCACTTCTTTCCAAACCTTGAGGACAAGGTTAACCTTATCGGAAAGGTAGCTTATACAACAACAAGATACATGGTTAAAACTGATAGCTCGGGATTGCATTCTCTTCTTATGAGGATGTCTATATTCTTCTTACATTTTGAGATTTTTTTTATCAGCATTTTTTTATTTAAATTTTTCATCTGCTTCTTCAGTTTCTTCAATTTCATCTTATTTGGAACATTCTTGTACCCTTTATTACCTTTTCCCAACAACCCTTCACTATACTTATAAACTAAGGTGATTGACTCACATATTAATGTATGAAAAGGTTTAGGTTTCTTCTGACTCCCTACATATAATTGCACTACTATTGGGGAATGATATGAATTTCCTTCCATTAGGACACATGCTAATGATCCTGTATATGCGTTCACCCACTTTTCATTGACTAATGCTCTTTCAAGTTTAGAATACACCCTTTCATAACCTAGCCTCTGATTACACCAGGTATATATCGTCCCAACTTGCCCACTAGTCGTTTACCTCTCATTTTTCAAGGCAGTACTGAAATTCCTAAAAATCTTGCAGAGCAACATTCCTTCCACCATGTTTCTCTTCTGGTTTCATAATGTTGTTGAAGTCACCCATTAAGAGCCATGGTCCTAGAATACTTCTTGATATTGTAGCTTTGACCTCTCACCTGTTTCACGTAATGCATAAATGCCAGTAAATGAAAATTTTCTCTTATCTCTTTGAACTATGCACTCACAGTGAACCATTTGGTCTGTGTGATTCACTTGAGTTACTAGTAAGCTGTCATCCCATAATATTGTTATCTTTTTTTAAAAAAATAAAATAAAATTACACAAGGCAGTGCGTAAAACTTACCCAAACGAAAAAGAAACCGATTTACAAAATTTTTCCTAACAACTCTTGACTGTTCCTGTACAATTATTTCTAAGAACTGTCTTACAAAGATACTATAATATCCAATGACAGTTCCTTGTTCTAGTCTATTGCCTAGGAGTATGTCTTACAAAGATTCCACATAGATACCTTGACATCTCCATCTAGGTGGAAAAAATTCATAACAAGATAGTAAATAATTAAATTTAAAATGAAAATAACTATCGAATTCTTACATAGGGAAAAGAGCATTTGTGTAACAAACACTTTCCTAGCAATGAGGGTAGAAGCTGCTCTCGAATAACATACTGTATGGATGACCCTTTCGATGCTCTTTTAGCAAGTTCATCTGCCATGCCATTTACTTATCTGTAGACATGCATGATTCTTGAGTTTTAGAGAAGTAACATAAGTTTAATTTCCTCGAAATGGTTGTGATGCTTCCATGGAAAACTCTTATGGTGATAGAGGATGTTGACTATAGCCTGATTATCAGTTTGAACCGCAACTCAAGCTATTCTTTTTTCCAAACAATGTCGAAGACCATTGAAGATTCTAGTTATTTTCATCTCTAAACTTTTTGATGTGCCCATTTTGGGACATTCTGCTCTGATAAAATTACCATTAGTACCTTTGAGTACATTTTGGGATTTTTTTGTGAACGTTTGGAAGAATATACTACTGTTGTCAATCCAATATGCACATATGTGGAGATTATTGAAGAATTGAGTACAAGTAGTATGAAGAGTCAAAAGGTTTCTCGTAGTTGGTGTTTTGATGCTCCTGCTGTGAAGGAAAACCCTTTTAGTTTTGATATCTCATGTAAAATTGACTCTTTTCCTGCTTTGGAGTTTGATCTTTCTGGATATATGCATATTAGGCATGGCTTCGAAGAGTATTCTAGATTTGACAAGACAGAAGGTACTAAAGAGACTATGGTTAAAGATTATAAAATGATTATAAAATTTCTTATTATGTAAGGCATCTAGTCTAGAGCAGGGAATTGCAATGTGACGGTGGAAGCAAAATAGGATTGACTCTGCTTAAACTAGAAATACTTGTCAGAGTATTTATATTTATATCATGCAGGTCACTTGGAAGACATTTACAGGTGCAACAATTTCAACTTTTTAGAAGTTCCACTGACAAGCTAGGTTGCTCAAAATTTCCGGCAATGGAGTCATTGTCGTATGGGATTAGCAATTCTTCTTGGCTGCTCAATTTTCAAACGATGGAACAACAATTTCAGAAAAGGGTCTATTTGTGCTGACGATTTCAAAGGAGTATGGAGTAAGGGACTGTACCAACTTGAAGCCTTAAGTTTTATCAATTCGGTAAAGGACTTACACGAATCCTTAGTGGATCTGATAGGTGGATTTAAGGGAGTTCATGGTGCATGCTATTTGAATTCAACGCCTTCACACCATACAATGTGTTATTTGTATGTTGAAGGAACGATACAACATACCATCATGCTCTTGGGTATTCCTGTAGGAAATGGCTCCTTCTTTATGTTTTAGGTGATTGGCCACATTGACATTAACTGGGACTTCCAGAGCTACCATATTAATAATACAAATTCGACTTTAATGGTGCCACTGAGAGTTCTAAGTCCGGTTTGGGAAAATCCTTGGTGCTGCAAAATATCCCAAAAAAGTGAGGTCTTGATCTCTTTTATCAAAGAATATGAGAAAATGCATTTGAGAATTAGCTACCTTGAAGACAACCAAGTTGATAGAGCCTGGGACAAGGAAGTTTATTACATCCAGGTGCTCTTTTAATATTGTTAAATCAACAAGCACTGAAGTTGTTACCTGCCTTCTCTTATTGACTTTGGCAATAGAAGCTGTCTTTAGAATTGTTCGTGCATAATCTATTTTCTTTTTTCATAAGTCTTGAGAACAAGACTTAGATTAGACGGATGGAGTTTTCATGAACCCAAGGCTTAGAATCAAATTAGCTAAAAGTATAAGGGCATGGGTTGTAATTGTGTAATAGTAAGGGGGTTCTGGACAGATAAATAACTCCGGATCTCTACTCTGCAGCAATTACCAAAGAAAATAAATGAAAATTTTTCTTTTGCTCCTCCCTCTAATTCTCTTTCTCCTTTGTCAATTGGAAGCATAGGTTCCATATATGATAGTACATACTTGTTTAGCACCATGTATAGACTGGGAATCTTCTTTTTGCAACATAAGCCTATTCAACCAC